AAAAAAAAAAAAAAAAAACAAAAAAAAAAAAAAAAAAAATTAACACGCTCCTCCAGATGCATTAATTTTCCATACAAATGACATATGAACTTCAACAGTTTTTGAAAAAAATTTTTTATCCCGTACTGATAAATTTCAATCTGTTTAAAATTATTAAATCTTATTGGCGAAATGCTAGAAACATTTACTCAATTTTTTCAGGCTGAAAAAACTTTAAAGTTAGTTGTGCAGTTTTCTAATAAAAATTAATTTGGCAACTACATTGACTGACAGAAAAGACTTTAGTGGGTATACGACAAAATAATAAAATTTGGCACGTAATGGACTAAAAATAATTAGTCAACAGGATAGGGAGAACGTCGCGATGTAAAAAAATTGGAGTTGCAACGAAACGGATAGGTAGCCTTGTCTCAAAAAATTGTGGCTTCTTGAAACATTTATAATTAGGCAAAACATCATATCCTAAATTGATTTTTAATGATACGTGGAAAATAGATAAAGTTAATGAGACTGACATACGTGTTTTTTCAAAGTACAGGTATTTTTAGTGCTAGAACATGAAATTAACCAAATACGTTTTTTTTTTTTTTAATATTATATGAAGATTTGAAGGTCACGCTTGGTGAGTGGCTTTTTTTTGGCGACTTTATGACTATTTTGCGTGGCATTAATCAGTTTTATTAACTACCTCATTCAAATTTTTCAGACTATCCCATGAAACTAGGTGAAAAAGTGACACGTGACGAATTGCATAAATTAAAAAGAAGTATTTCGTAGGATAACTGTTGTGATAAAATTTTTTATCTAATATGCTTATATTAATAAGGCGGTCATCAATAAAAGTAGATTATTGTTTAACAGAAAAATAAATTTAAACTCTACGGGGAAGAGTTGATTTTAATCCTTACCATCAAATGTTGTCAGTCATGTTGGTTTGCAATGTTAGGATATGCAAACAATTTTGAATTGAAAAATAGTATGCATTATGTTAAGCGTATTATACAGTAAAAATGGATGGATGTTGAATTGAAAAAAAAAGTTCAAATTTACATTTTAAATACGATTCGGAACCATTCAGTCAATGACTTGATAAGAACAGGATAATTTTTTTTTTCCTAGCGCAACGCGTCATTAGTGACTAACTTGAAATTAATATAATTTCGGAAATAACATTTATCAATAATAGATTAGGTATACATATGTATAGAAATTATCTGTATGGATAATTTTAACCTTCGTTACTCAATCATTGATGACATATTGTGTTTACTTGGAAAAAAGTGATTTTGTGTTTATCAAATCGTTAACAAAAGTACCAACTTACGTCCAATGTAAAATTACAACTTCTCTTGAAAAAAAAAAACTGTTTCCAATAAATATTTTTTGCATGTATCATAATAAATATACTGCATGGTAAATAGTTATAAACTTACTACATAGCCTTTCATTTATTACATCAGCCTCTTAATAAAAACCAGTAAGTGAGTGCTATGAAAAAATGTGAAAATCAATGTAGCTTTCATGGTTTTATCAATTGATTGATTAGTTATTACAATACAGGCAGTTGTATTTTTCGCGGTGTAACCGCAGATAAAATGCATCACGGTAGTCGCAATCATCGCTTACTTTTCATAGTATTTTTTGGTGCTGAAATCAACTGGAGACCCCATGGTCGCCCTGCGATAGAGCTGTTAAATACAAATTTTTTAAGATTTTACCAAGAAAAAAATAACAGAGAGTGAAAAATAGTTTTTTATCTTTCAAGNGGAAGGGCTTCCTTGATTTCGTTTTCGGTCTTGCTACTGACAATTCCCGTGTTGTTTTTGGTCAGATAACCAAATCTTTGGAGATGCTTTTCCTGCAACAGACAAACCAAATTGAGTTTTCATAACAATACTTATTTAATCATTTTAATTTATTGTGCAAAGATAAAAAGACGATTAATTATATAGATATTTTGGTCACGCGTATGAGTCATTTTAAGAAAACGGGATTAGTATTTCAAATGTTAAAATGGACAAAGATTATAAAGGGGGTTTCACTAATTAATGCTGGATTTGCATTAAAAGAAAATTTGGTGATAGTAATATGATGAGTATAATACTGAGTAAAGTACTATGACAAGCTTTTAAAAAATTGTAATAAAATTATAATTTTCACCTACCCAAAGAAATAGCTTTTTACCGTCTAATTTCATCTAATTTTTTAATATTTTGTAACGCTATGAAAAAAAAACACACACTTTTTATTTTAAAATGACTTTATAACTGACTGAAACATAAAGAAATGTATTTTCTAAAAATTGATCCACGTACGGTATACAAATACGTATATTTATAAATAGCCACTCGTGCAAAAGATGCATAAAGAAACGCTTATATCTTCTTCTTTGGGGGATGAGTGTAACTTTTTATTTTTTCCCGTATAATTTTAGATCCACACCATCACCTTCACAATATACGTTACAAGTACGTAGTTTTTACGATTAATGAGTGTGTGGTAAGAAAACGAGGAATATTTCACTTACATACATGTACACGGGAACGAGGGAGAAGTTGGTTAGTTAAGTAGCCATTATTTACGGTTAATGAGTATAAATTTAAGTACAAGTAAGTACTAATTATCACTTACTGAATAAAGACTTTGTGTGCAAATTATATATTTGATTTTCGATATTCGAGTACTTACAACTTCGTTCGAGGTGTTGGAGACTGGCACAGCGTGTCCCATTGCGAGGGCCATAGCGAGTAAGAGGACCATCATTTTTGTCTGGACAATAAAGTTGACTCTTTGGTACGACGTCATCTTTACCATGTACTATAAATGTGCTTGAAATTGCAGTAAAAAATAAAAAAAAAAAAAAAATTTACTTGTACTTTGGCGATTGGGGCTCGAGGAAAAATTGGTACAAAAAATTCGGCTTTTAAGCTCAATAGTTGTCTATATCTCAACAATCCAGTTTATAGTGACACAGCTATACTTTTCTTGCATGGCTTAACTAGCAAGTGCGTTTGACTGCCACACGGCCCCTCCCATTTATTTTTTTTATCACTCCAAAAGACACCTACTTTCTCGTTCATACTAAATACAAATTTTTTAAGATTTTACCAAGAAAAAAATAACAGAGAGTGAAAAATAGTTTTTTATCTTTCAAGATAAGTATCACTCGTCCACAACAATATAAATAAAAACTATTTTTTTCAGGCACACGTACACGTAGTATCCTGGTTTTCAGGAAATTGGAATATTTTTCTTTTCTTATCAGCATTTTTAATGATACTCTAAAGAGGCTCTTCCCCGATTGACTTTTCTGGTGAATGACATCGTTGTAATTTGGGCAAGGAAGCGGTAAAAATATCTCTTTTTTTAAATAAATTTTGTCTTCGAAGAAAAACATCTACGTGATTTTTAACATAATTATATACCTGGTTTGACTTTTCACCATGACAGGGGCTAAGGAATTTAAAAAGCCTCAATTGCATACGTTTCAAAATAATGTTTTATTAATTAGGTGTTGAGGTGTCTTGTTTACATGTTATAAGTTTTTTTTTGCACAGTGAATAATTAAAAATGCATTGAGTATCTGTGTTTTTTTCTACACACTTTGGTGCACAATGAAATTACATTTCTCTCAAAAGTAAAAAAATTGTTTTATCCATGTACGACGGACAACTACTAAATATGGTGAGAAATAAAATTTTATTTATTTATTAAATTTAGGATGGCTCATATGCATCACTTAATCACGTGAGTAGACAGCGTCGTCCACATTTTGGGGGCAGCCCATCCAGTATTGTGCCGACAATTTGGGATTTGTGTCTACTATTTTCCTACGCGCGTCATCGAACTGCCAAAAGTACCTTCCCTTGAAAAAGTACGTCGTACCTAAAAAAAAAAATATGATTAAAAAAGGAAATTAAATCATAATAAATTAATTGCTCAACTTTATGAAAATGTAGTTCTCTATATGATAATTTTATGAGTAAATTTGTGGAATAAGGGGGGAGCTAAGGGCTAGAAAAATCAAAGTTTCCCAGATGCAAAAAGAAACTTTTAAGTAGTAACTCCTAATGCAATAAGTGAAGCCCATTCGAAATTGCCGTTTTCACGTAGGCCAAAGCTGGTGGCCTAAAATTTAAAAACTTGGTCTAAGTAAATAATACATACATAATGAAACAGAAATAGAAAATTGTCTTGAATTATTTTTGGACTGGATTTTTCTCAGGAAGTGTTCACAAAAAACGTTGTTAATATAGCAGTTGATACCTTTTGATAACAAAATATCTTCATATTTGTTAATTACCTACATTAAACAGCATTAAAATTATTTTAAACACGCCAATATTTATATACACTTCAAATCCGAAAACTGGAATGACGGGGACGCAACTCAACCTTTAGAAGTAGTTAAGTAGCCATTATTTACGGTTAATGAGTATAAATTTAAGTACAAGTAAGTACTAATTATCACTTACTGAATAAAGACTTTGTGTGCAAATTATATATTTGATTTTCGATATTCGAGTACTTACAACTTCGTTCGAGGTGTTGGAGACTGGCACAGCGTGTCCCATTGCGAGGGCCATAGCGAGTAAGGGGACCATCATTTTTGTCTGGACAATAAAGTTGACTCTTTGGTACGGCGTCATCTTTACCATGTACTATAAATGTGCTTGAAATTGCAGTAAAAAATAAAAAAATAAAAAAGTCTACTTGTACTTTTACTATTGGAACTTGAGAAATAATTATCACACTAAATTCGATTTTAAACACAATAGTTGTCTGTATCTCAACAATCCAATTGATAGTAATAAAGTCACCTGACTCGCATTGCTGAAATAACGAGTGTTATTCACTGCCCCACTGCGCCTCTTCTATCACGCCATTTTTATTTTTTTTTATATCACTCGGGTCACCTGATGTCTACTTTATTCAGAATAGCTGATGATTGTAGGATTTCGAAGTTTTTGTTTGCACCTACTTGATACTTACAAAATGCCTAAAAAACGTAGTGTTAAATAATGCATGGGTATGAATTTTTTCATCATTATTTATTATACATTTTCAAAAACATTTTATATAGTGGATGCATATTTTCTGCACTTTTTTTGCAAACGTTTGATAATTTTGATTTCCTACATAATAGAATGCTACGAACTTATGTTTCGTACACTATAAAAAAAAAAAAAAAAAAAAAAAAAATTAACACGCTCCTCCAGATGCATTAATTTTCCATACAAATGACATATGAACTTCAACAGTTTTTGAAAAAAATNGGACGCAACTCAACCTTTAGAAGTCATTAGTATTATATCTCAAAAGACGCAACTCAACCCCAGCCTCCATGTTCGAAATTATTGGTGCATTGATAATATATATTATAAATTATAATAGCGATAGGCTGTATTAGATTTAATATTATTTTAATAAATAAAGATTGAATTGTCTCGCAAGTAATTGTATTCAAGCACATAATTATTTATAAACCAATAATAATGTTAAATTGATCTAATAATAAATTAAGTACACTTAAGTCAACAGCCTCACCATCATTTGTGTTGAAAGCTGCATCGATGTTCGAACTGACATTCCCAAATAAATTTCTTATGTCCCTCGGATAATCCCGTTCTACGCCATTAGTATCCTCATTGAACCTAGAAAAATCAGTGGATTAATTTTTTTTTGCACTCACAAAGCACAAATAATGGAATACCTGTGATCCTTTTACATTTCATTTCATATTGTTTTCTTATTTTTATAACTAAAAGTACACGCAATACTATATACATACTTCCAGTAACTGTTGCCCCTAAAAAAATAAGTGCCTCGATCGCACTTTAAGATCATGACAACGTCAATTTTTTCAAGATCAACCGGCAAGCCAAGATCGGTAAGGGGCCTCGAGTACTTTAATGTATTGGATCCATCAAAGACGTAATATTCATTACCAATAAAAAACACCATGTCACCGTTGGAGCGCTGGTACACTGCGTCCACGTGATCGATTGTTTTGTTGAATTCGAAGTAACCATCGATCGTCTCTGACTCGTTATTACTGAGTTTCATCAAACATGTAAACTGCGAATATTTTTTGTTTTATTTGATCACGTAAAGCTTATCGACAACCCATAAAACACAGGTTTTACTTCAAGGAGTATATGCATGTAATTTATATTTTTATTTTGGAAATGATTTATGTTTTATATTTATATTATTCTCTCGTAAGTTTAAATAATACGTGAGTATCGTATTTAGTAGATGATAAAAAAAATTATTATTTTTATTGAAGAAAATCATTACATTTACTCCTTTTTTCAAGCGATACCCTCTACTATATATGGTAAATTTGCATAAAACAATGAAGAAATATCTCTTTGACACAAAAGAAAGATAAATTAATTTTTGTCTAACTTGAGTACTTACAACTTCGTTCGAGGTGTTGGAGACTGGCACAGCGTGTCCCAGTGCGAGGGCCATAGCGAGTAAGAGGACCATCATTTTTGTCTGGACAATAAAGTTGACTCTTTGGTACGACGTCATCTTTACCATGTACTATAAATGTGCTTGAAATTGCAGTAAAAAATAAAAAAAAAAAAAAAATTTACTTGTACTTTGGCGATTGGGGCTCGAGGAAAAATTGGTACAAAAAATTCGGCTTTTAAGCTCAATAGTTGTCTATATCTCAACAATCCAGTTTATAGTGACACAGCTATACTTTTCTTGCATGGCTTAACTAGCAAGTGCGTTTGACTGCCACACGGCCCCTCCCATTTATTTTTTTTATCACTCCAAAAGACACCTACTTTCTCGTTCATACGGAGACTTGCACCTTCAGTGGCTCCTATTTTTGACAACTTTGATACAATGATAAAATACAAAACAAGGAACTAATGATCGCAGTATGTTAAAATTTTTATTAATTAGATTTTTATACAAAAAATTGTGTGGTTGATATCGATTTTCTGCACACATACATGACAAAAAATTTAATTAATACGTGACAGCAGAGGCCTTTTTATTCTTCGTTTCAATAGCCTGGGCTTTTTTAAGGGTTTTGAGATGCAATTTTTTTTTAGTAGAGAAAATTTTCGAGAAAATCATACAAATTTAAGTATTCTTTGGTATTTTTTCCCAGTATAAAATCACGTTTTATTTTTTAGCTTGAAAAAAAACAGCAAATAATTTTAGCTCTCTATATCGTTCAAATCAGGAATTAAAATGCATCTTCTGGCACAGTAACCAAACATCTCTCGGTACAGTTATAAGTAATGTAACATATTTTATTATACCAGAAATTATAAAAAATATCAATGTTCATTTCCTTCATAAATAATCAATGGGTTGTCATACACCGAAACAATGACAAAAGGCGATTAAGATAAAGCGATTCTCAAATCAGCTAAATCTAATGAAAACTATTTTTTAGTAACACGTAGTTTTTTATTAGCTTTTCAAACGATGCTTCAACGAGGCTTTTTCACGATGAAAATTTTGATAAAGTTAAATAACCTCGTCCTTATCGGACAAATACAATGTGCCATTTATTTTTTCCAACATAAAAAAATTATCTTTTTATTCCGTTAAATTTTTTTTGTTCAAAAGAAAAACATGCACTTGACTCAACATAAATCTGATTTATTATCACCAATATTAATACAAGAGTAAGTACTTGGAAATTTTCCCCATTTACGTATGGCAGGCTTAGTGGAAGCTTTTTATCGTTAAATATTAAGTTACGTTAAAAATACGTTAATAATATTTTTTACAGCGTTGAACTTGTGTTTGTATGCGATTCCACGCACATGTCATCAGCCATATCTCAACAATGAATCAATAGATGTTTATAGTTAGAGCAGTAGAGTAAAACTACCTAAATTTAAGATGTTTATAATCAAGACCTTAAGATTTTTTATTTTTATCCTTACAATCAGTAAAAAAATATACAAATTTTGTAGCTTTTATTAAATTTAGGATGGCTCATATGCATCACTTAATCACGTGAGTAGACAGCGTCGTCCACATTTTGGGGGCAGCCCATCCAGTATTGTGCCGACAATTTGGGATTTGTGTCTACTATTTTCCTACGCGCGTCATCGAACTGCCAAAAGTACCTTCCCTTGAAAAAGTACGTCGTACCTAAAAAAAAAAANCTATTACTGATTTTTTTTTTTCCTTTTTTTTTAAATATTATGTCAAAATATTAGTGTCCAAATTTTTTAACGAATATTTTTTACTTGGTTGTTAGCAAGGAAAAATCGATCTAGTGCAATCAATCTGAAGGTGATCGATTTTGAGAGTATTGATTCAGATGGATGTTTTTGATTGACAATTATCTTGTTACTTACAACAATATATTCGTATTACTGGCGAGTTAGTAAAGAAATATCGAAATATATTTGGATTTTTACTTAATTTACCAGGAAATGTTTTTTTTCATTGACTCATCAAAATGCAACATTTTGTATTATGTAATGCTGATTTTATTAATAGCAACAATATGACGAATAATAATTTTCGGCTATCTGCAATTTGTATCTGTCAAATGTTTAAGTAAAGTTTTTGGCAGTTTGTATAATAAATACGACAACAAAAGGATACGAGCTGAAGGTACTATAATACATAAAACCTCTTATTACCGTGAGTTTATACATTTTAAATAATTTTTTTATTACAAATATAGCACATTTTAAAGAAAATAAAAAAATTTCTCGTCACATTTTCGTAAAACATATTTATTATTTTCAAACTAGAACTAAAATTAATATTTTCATTGTTAAAAGATTTTGACATCATGTCATGTTGAAAAAGTACGTTGAATTAAAGAAAGAACAAAGAAAAATGAAATTACACAATCGTAAATAATTAATAACTTTGCTCAACTTCATAAAATTGTTTTTCTGTATTCTTTAAATTTAACGAATAAATTTAGGTGCAAAGAGAACCCACTGTCCAATGGGTTGTAAGTATTTGAGTACAAAAAAATCAAATTTACAATTTTTTTTTTCTAAATTTATCGTATTGAGTTAAAGAAAAGGTAAAAGTAGTAACAATTTTAAAACGGACACTCTTGAAAACTGTATCCCTTATTTTTTCCACTTTGAAAAAAATCTCCTTTTTTATACGTTTCTTTTTCTCTGAAGGAAAACATCTGCTTAGTTTAACCTATACGACTGGTTAGGGGCAAAGGAATTTGAATATCTTAAATTGCATACGTTTTGAAAAAGCTTTTTATTGGTAAAGTATCAAGTTGTCTTGTTTACATGTTGTAAGTGTTTTATACAGTATTAAATATTTAAAAATTTAATTTTTTATAAATGCTTGTGTGTGTGTGTGTGTGTGTGTGTGTGTGTGTAAAGAATCAGATTTCTAAAACCTATTGACATACTTAAAAATTTTGTAGCTTATATATGTAAAATAAAATGTTTTTAGCTTTCATATTTTACAAATTAGACCTATTAAGTATAAAGTATAGTTCAGAAAATATCTCACAAAAATGAAACATTTCTTTATCACACTTTTTTGTGTACTATGTTATTCCGTTAATCTTCTTCAAGTAACAGACAACCATTAATTTCGGTAAAACAATGATTCCACGGCATCTTTTTGGCGGCTACTAGTCGGCTGTACCTGTAAAAAATTTATTTAATTTAATTTATGATGGCCCATACTAGAACTGCCACAAGACTCAAGAAGATATTGATTTTGTCTTGATTGTTGTCTGAAAAAAGCTTATCAACGAGGAGAGTAAGGGTAAAAATATAAGTTTCTTTGAGGATATCACAGAAATTAACGATGCTTGGGTTCACTGTGATATCAACAAGCATTTCTTATAAAATTTTACATTTATTTATTTGACTCTCAATAACTTTATCGAGAATCAATTACACAACAAATAAAGTTTACCGTACGAAAAATAAATAATTCAGTATACGAGTATGTATCCAAATCGAATATATTTAAAATGAAATTAAATAAATTTCTGCGATTCACTGAGTGATAAGCAAAAATTCCATAGCTTATTATGAGAAGTTGTAGTGTTTTCGACACTGTATATTCTTCACGAAAAAATTGTGTTGTAAATGCTGGTTTGAGTGTAAAAAAAAGAATTATATTAACTATTTCCACAGTACTGACAACCATCAAAGCGTAATAAATTTAAAGATTCTAGTACTCATAGATACAGTAAAGGAAAAAAAGAAGAGGAAAATAATTTAACACTTACCATATAACTCTTGAATGCTTTGACTATCATAAAGTGGCAGCTCGTAATCTGTAGGTAACTGATTGTAAATTGGATACATGACTGAGTCTTCCATCAAAGTGTCACCCAATCCGAGGGAGTGACCAATTTCGTGAACCGCGACCGTGAACAGATGAGTTTCTGCAAACAGAATAAGTGATCAATTGATTAATAGCAATATTTATTGATTTTAAAAACGAATTTTACCCTCCACGTAGTACAAATGTTGATCTGTTCCCAAATGGAACGTGCAAAGTGGATTATTTTTTCATTTTCATTTTTATAATTGGCTTCATGAGTTACGAATATGTGATTTTTCTACTCTAAAGCTTAATACTACTTTATGACTATCCATGGCCAAGTTAACTTAATATATTTCATTTGAAATTAAAACTAGAAGTGAATACACTCTGTTATTTCATAACATTTTTCATAATAGTGTAACGTACGATATGCAAGGCATATCATACTGACTCTCCCTAGTAACAGCGAGGCTACTTTAGCAAGAAGCCATCGACGGGTGGGGAACAAGGTAATATAAGGCCCAGCGGGCCTCAAATCGCGACAGTCGGGCATTCGCGCATTCGGGAATTGATTCGCGCTCTCGGTATTCGGCAGTCGATCGCTATCAAGAAGGTCGGGCGTTACCAAGGGACTCGAGCATTACCGAATCAAGCCGCCGAGCAATAACCACAGAAGGACACAGCGAGCCTAGAACGGAACCACACGCGCGACTTTGCCTTATAGATAGGTATTTCGAATAAAAGTGTTTAAGAAAATATATATACTGATCATTCTCGCGACGCACCTCCTTACCAATATCTTCCCTACGTAACAATAAAGTGGAAATTGGGTTATTTTCTGCACTGTTATTGTGTAAAAAATGAAATATTAAGCACACTCTGCAGAAACAAAAGTTTTTCTATCGTGTAAATGTCATGAGTGAAAAAAAACGCTTTACATCGGAAAGTACCGATTTTCCGTAGACTAACACGAAAAATCTTAAACACAACTCATATGGAACTATTTCCGTACTCGTGTGATATGTCAAAGACATGTGCCGTGAAGTCACTACTCATGTGGGAAATCGTCTTGTTACATGAATAACTATTTTTCAATACCACTTAGTAGTAAATAATATTAACGAGAAAAAATAAAAGAAGATATAAAGAAGCCAAAATAAAGTTAGTCTGACATTACTTACTCGAACTGCTGTTAGTGTTTTCAATGGTCCAATCCTCGTCCGCATCAAAGTGGACATCGCCGGTGAGACGATGGTTTGGATAAAAGGAGTGTGCCACTGCGGGACCTTTGCCGTCAAAATCGATGTCATCATTATAACCGTGACGATGTTCTCGCCTAAAAAATATGTCACACGAAACAAGTAATATTTTGCTCAACTACCAGTGCCATGTAGGTCGAGTTAAAAATTTAACATCCGAAAGTCAGCTGCAACGATACCAAAACGTGTAATATCTTTTTTTTTTATACCTTATGCTGATGAATTTACTGCTAATTTTTTCCTACTTTTAATCTGAGGAAGCTCGTTCGACAAAAAAAATGACATACAAATTTCCCATTTTTTACTAATGCAATGAAAATTTTTAATTTTCAAACCGTATATTTCTTGACAATTTTAGCATACTGAACTACCTCCAAAATAGGAATATTTAAAAGCTTATTTTATTGTTTGATAATTCTTTTTAATAATAGGACAAATTTGTTTGAAATCACCTTAAAACACAATTTTTTCTCCTCAAAACAATTTGGTTTCACAAAATGTTTACCTACAATAATTAATTGTTTTTTTGGAATCGTAAATGCTTAATCAATAATCAATAATTGTTTCATTAATTTTTATATTTTTTGAGACTACAATTTATTGTATTAATACTAAAATACATAGTGGAAAACACATTTATTAATTAGATCACTTTATACAAATAAACTGATGACAAAACTAATTTATCGAGAAAACTTTTATTAATCACAGAAAGGCCAAGATTTTAAAAATATTAATTATGCAAAACATTACAACGATCAATTCGCCGGAAGTTTTGAAAAATTTGTTTCGCGAAGTTTAATTAAAAGTAATTTCAACTGATTCTTTTTGCCGATTTAACAAATTTTAAAGATAAACTTAAAGATAAAAGAAGTTACTTACGGTTGGAAGGACATCACGATGTCGACATCGTCACTGTTTATTTTTTCTGCCAACACAAGTTTTGTGTGTTTTGCCCATACATTAAGTGCTCGGTTTATTTCCTTCCTTACGTCGTCGTAGTCAAGCCCTTCAGGAATCGGTTGTGTTACACTATAATTAGTAACAAACAAAGAAATAGATTAAACTTTGTATTTTCTACTACATATAAATGTTAGAAATAATTTTGTATCGATAAAATGGACATTTATCAGCATTAAACACTAAAAATATATAGAATTAAATACTGCCTCGATTATGGTAATAATCTGCACTTATTTTACGAAAACAAACGCTTTGTCTTCGTAACGTCACGGTGATCTAAAGTATCCAAGATATAATCACTTAAATAATTAAGTTATTTCTATTGTGTAACTAGAAAGTGTCAAAAGTTGGCTTTACGGTAACAACATCTCGCGGTTTTTCCAAATTTTTTTTTTTAATTTTTTTTATACTCAAGAAAGTAAGCATTAAAAATCAGGCTTTTTTACTCAGTACAGTAAAATATAAACGAGAGTTCTATTAAGGCAACATAAGCCGTTAAAAATTAAGTATACTTATTTAATTTTTAATATTGTAGTAAAGACATTTCGATCTTTTTTTTTCATCTTTCGGTCCCACAAACAACCGTTAAAATTGTTAAAATTTAAATGCAAATATAAAAATGTTCAACTGTTAAGCATTTTCAGTTTCTTTCTTTAGGTTGAATAAGATAGTTTAGAAATTTAACACATACAGACAATTCATACTATGTCCACAATATTTTCGTATATCGCAGCACACTTTATACGTATACATTTTTAAAGTTATGATTATGAAACCCAGAGAAAATCATTGAAACAAATTTTGAAGTGATTTATACCTCCACGTCAGATTAAGTTTATTCCACTTATTTGTAAGTAATGTAGACCTCTTTTCTCTATTTTTCTTGTTGTTGTCTGACCCGTAATTCACATCCACACCACAACGTCGACTCTCTATTGGTTTCAATGTTGGACCATCCACTACTTTTGTTGGCACGATTTCACCAAATTTCTAGAAAATGGATTTCCACATAATATATAACACAGCTAACCTCCACACTACAAAATGTAGATAAAATACTCATAAAGTTTGAGTTTCAATGCAATAAATACAAATTTCATCTTTTGCAACCTTTCACCCATATTATACACATAATTACCATATATACAATTCAATATAATTTAATACTATAGAAACATGTACACTGCATTTTGCATTTTGTACCGTTACGGGCTTTGAGTTTTATTCTAGTGTGGCTGACTTTAAAAAATCATTAGCCTGTTATAGCACTGCCAATAGAAGATCTTGAATTTCTTGCAATTTACTCATGCTCCATTAAATACAAATTAAATTTCCTGCAGTAACGAGATTATTTTTCGTAGTAATATTAAATTTTAACTGACCCTGGAGCCACCACTTGAACGGCAAAGTATTTTTACAAACATTTATTTTGCAAAATGTATGTAAGTAATACTCATACTAATGACTAAGATAACATGGTACAAAAAAATAAAAAAACGAAATTTAACTTCCAGTCGCCATGCGTCGGTCGTTAAAAAAAAATATTATGTGAAATATGATCACCAAACATTAATTAAAACACTTTTATCTTAATCATTGAAAATACTTTAATCATTGGAAAAAATGTTTAAAGACAAAATCTCTATAAATGTCGTTTTAATCAACTGGACTATAGAAAATTCCTTTTTTTTTGTACCATACTCGGCTTAATCCCCATTACATACATATTATTACGTTTATAGTTTGTACGATTGATGTACGTGTGCCAAGCAGACGTGGGATATTTTGTTTACATACGAATATACGAGAACGAAAAAGTACTTGGTTAGTTGAGTAGTGCTTATTTACTGTAACCAAATGGTTATTTGAATACAAGCAAGTACCAATTACCAGTTGATAAAAGAAAAATTTGTGGTGACACTTACAGTTAGAGAAATGAGGAAAAAAGTAATGCAGAAACACAAAGAAATACCTGCTCTTTAAAAATTAATTAATTAACTTATCTGTTAACAACAAGTGATTATTTCTATTAGCGCACATAATTTATTGTATAATCTTTTCATGACTAAATGGTCATTACTGCATATGTACCCGAATGTTGAAACTTTTGTAAAATGCGTTTAAATGAATATATCTAAAAACACATGAAGAAATATCTCTTTGACACAAAAGAAAGATAAATTAATTTTTGCCTAACTTGAGTACTTACAACTTCGTTCGAGATGTTGGAGACTGGCACAGCGTGTCCCAGTGCGAGTGCCATAGCGACGAAGAGGACCATCATTTTTGTCTGGCCAATAAAGTTGACTCTTTGGTACGGCGTCATCCTTACCATGTACTGTACAATCAATATGCTTGAAATCACAGTAAAAAGTGAAAAAAATAAAATAATATACTTGTACTTTGTAATAAAATTCGTCTTTTAAGCTCAATAGTTACCTGTACCTCAACAATCCAGTTTATAGTGACAAAGCCACCTTCGTCGCACCGTTTAAATAACGAAAGTTAATTGCCCCTCCCACGCCTTTTTCTCCTCCCCATTTATTATTATTTTTTTTTTTTATCTTTTCTTTGTTTCATTTTTTTTTACTTGGCACCGCTGCTTTAATTTTTAAATCTACCAATTTTCCAACTTTTCTGGCTCTTATTTTTATAGGCTTCATAATGACCTCATACAAAAAACGAGTAGACGATCGCAGGGTTTTTTAAATTTTTATTTAATATACTTTAATTATGAAGTATCCATGTCATACTTTAAAAAAATGTAATACGTACAATATATTTTTATCTTAGTTTGAAAAACTGAATAGAAATTTGTTTTTCCACACAAAAAATCGTTTGAAAAATACACGTTTTCTATACACGAATAACAGACAACCTATTTCGAGATGCGATGAAACAGATATGTTACCTGACTGTCTCAAAAATTGTTTAATAACCATAGAATTTCTCAAAAACTTAGATTTGAATAAATAAGGAAATCTTAATGTTAATTTTTATGAAGCGTGTAAAGTGAATAGAGTTATGAGACAAGGCATATATATATATATATACATAAAATAAACGCAACTACTTTTTGTCTGGAAAGAAAGTTCACCCATGTATTACTTTTGGTTCTGAAAATGCATTGTAAAGTAACATTGCCAAAAAAAGCGTGGACCAAACATCTCTTGGTACACTTACATGTAATGCAGTCGATTTCATTAAACCGAAAATCTTCAGAAAAATCAATGGTCATCCTTTATAAATAATCAATGCCTTCTTGAAAACAATTTTTGTATTAATTAACTTCGAAATAATTTATGAAAAAATTGATTAACAAATGCTTATCGATTTAGATAAAGCGATTCTCATAGCAGCAAACCCTACTAAAAACTATATTTTAGTAACATTTTTTAGTTATTTGTCAGTATTTTCAACGATGCGTCAACGAGGCTCTTTCACAATGGTAATTTTTGATTCAGGAATCAACCTCGTCATCATCAGAAAATGTGCTTTTTGTTTTTTTGATACAAAAAAAAAATTTTTTTTTTTTTGTTTAATTTCTTATGTTTTAAATAATCATGTACTTGGCTCAACATACATCTGGTTTTTTTTAAACCAATGTAAATACTAGAGGACGTGGAAAGCGTTTAGATGAAGCTTCCTACATCAGTAAAATATTGAATTGTATTAAAGATGCGTTAAAAATTATTATGATGTACATTTATGTATGTGTGGGTGAGCACTATCATTTTATTTAATTAGTAATATGGCAATAGTTCATCAACGGATTTTAATGATTCATAGCTATAAAATTATGTTTTCTCGATCTTTCTGTGACTCAGAAGAAAAAAGTTTTATACCTTCATGTTCATTAATTAGTTATGAAAACTATTCTTTTAATTTCTATTGTGTTGAAAATTTTTTCATAAAAATAATGAATTATCATAGGAAAACTAGAATCATGCTGTAAAAATTTGACGGTAATGTCATTAATCTAAATAGTTTTTTAAAAATAACGAGTAAACAACTTGAGGAAAGCTTTTCCTTTGTATATAAAGTAATTTTACTTGTCATAATAGCAAAAAAAAGTACGAAGTAACGACAGTGTGTGGTTATCTGTATATTGTACTTATCGAATGTTTATTAGATTACATATTGTTAAAATTTTTTTGTGAGTTGATAAAATAAAATTTAAAAAAAGTAATATGTCTTATTTTTTATAATTTTTTTTCTTAATAATATAGCTCAATTTAAAAAAAAAAACAAAAAGAAAATTTTTCGTCACTTTTTCCGTAAAACGTATTTATTAATTTTAAATTAGAATTCAAGGCTTCAAAAGCTTCATCCATCAAAGTCAGTTTAACTATGCAGTTGGATTACGTTGCGACATATTGCGATGTTACTTGATCCTCATAACTCGATGATGCGCCTTGTTGGTGTCGTCCACATTTCGGGGGCAGCCCATCCAGTACTGGGACGACAATTTGGGATTTGTGTCTACTATTTTCCTACGCGCGTCATTATGGAACTGCCAAAAGTACCTTCCCTTGAAAAAGTACGTTGTACCTAAAAAAAAAAAAAGAATAGAAAATTTAATTATAAATATTAGTTGGCTATGCTCAACTACATTAAAATGTTGTTTTGTATGCGTTAACGAATAAATTAGTACAGTGATGGGGGAGCCAAGGTTTAGAAAAATCTGAGTTTCACAGATGCGAAGAGAATGTACTGGCCAATAGGTCTAATCAAATTGGAATAAATTTTTATTGATACAAACAAAATTTTATGTATTTTGAAATTAAAAACGGTTCACGCAAATAATTTTGTAACCAAGCTTTTTTCTCTCTTTTTCGGTGCAATTTTGTGACCTTATATGAAAAGTCATTTCAAATTAATTGAAAACTGTATGCAATGGGACAAAGAGCCTAATAGTTTTAGAAAAAATTTAGAAAATTAGAATTATTCAGTAAATTATAAAATTGATGTGAATGAAGGACGTTAAGCATTTTCGGAAAATAGGTAATAGTCAATTTTTCAGAACTAGGGATTAATAATTTTATCCTTTTGTTTCAATAATGTAACATTTAACTTACTTCAAAACAGAAAATACACGTTGTTTGATCAGTTGAATATACCATATAGTCGACAAAATAATTAATAAAAAATAAATTAATGATTACTACGAGTATATAATAAGTAGAACTAAAAATACCGTACTGATATAAACAATAATAACTATTCTATACAGAGTATATACAATTGACTTGATGTATGATTGCGTGTGCATATGAAGTCATACCCTTGCTACAGTGTAATTAAGATGTTTGATTTATATTTCATAGTCACTATAAGCATTTGTTATAGTAGAAAATTAATTTTAAAAAGTTGACGTAATATTGGTCAATAATAATTCTACGCCCTACAATCTGTTATACATGCTTTGATAGTATGTTACAATCACGACAGGCTTTACGTGAACTGATTATTTTAATGAAACAAAATTAAAGTATAATTCGAATGATTAGTTTTGAAATAACTACAAATTTCCTCACCATCGTTTGTGTTGAAAATAGTATTGAAATTCCTCTCGATATTGGTAAATAATCTCCTAATGTCCCTCGGATAATCTCGTTCTACGCTATTAGTGTTCTCGTCGAACCTAGAAAAATTGATGGATTAATTTTTTGTATCAACAGAACACTAATAATGAATACTTGTGCTCCTTTTTGTTTTATTTTGTTTTTATTTCATGTATTTTTCTAATACTTAAACTTATTAAAAAAATTTCCATGTTGCAAAAAAAAATGTAAGTTATCTCAAATGACGAGAGAAAATAAGATAAAATTAAAAAAGAATTTTTTGTAACCAGAAGAGTACACATAATAATACACATACTTCCAGTAACTCATTCCGCTAATGAAGTAAGTCCCTTTGTCGTGTTTCCAGATCATGGCAGCGTCAATTTTTTTTAGATTACGAGGCAAGCCAAAATCGGTGAGGGGCCCGGAATATATTAAAACATTGGGCCTATTGAAGATGTAGTACTCACGACCAATAAAAAACACCATGTTACCATCAGACCTTTCATAAACTGCGTCCACGTGATCGATTTGTTTGTTGAATTTGAAGTAACCATCTATTCTGGTTGACTCCTTGTAAGTAGGGTTTTCCATATCTCTCACCAACCACAAATACTGCGAATATATTTATTTTAGCACATAATTTTAATCAAGAAACCATAAAACACTCCTTTTACTCGATGAAAATAATTGATTAACGATACGTAGTATGTATATAAATGACTCACTTCTCCGGAAAATATCCATAACGACCCACTTAAGAGGCTCACGGCGTCGTACTTCCCGAGATGACATCCCCGGGTCTCCTCATAGTTGGTGGTGGGTCGACGCGTGGTTGTTTGGGGTTTTATAATGTGGTTAGACATTGAACTTAACGAATTATGTTTGTGTCTCAGTTTTATTTGTCTTTGCAGCGATTTTGGCTTAGATCGAGGCTTAGGTATCTGTGTCGTCGTGGTAGTAAATCGAGAATTCTTTTCTCCTCGTTTAATTTCTGGAACTCCTGAAAAGTTTATTTTAAAAATTAAATTTTGTGCAATATTATTTAAAAAAGTTTTTTTTTTTTTTTTTATGGCTTAATTTATTTCGCATTTTTTTAAAGTACGCAAATGCAATCACGCAAATAAGTCGAAACACGGTAAACTAACAAAGTATCAGATGATTTTTTTTTACGATGAACTAGTTCACGCTACGTAGTCTCTATTTTTTGTGTTTTAATTTTTGGACAAGTAGTTATGTTGGAAGTGTGGTGAGAGGCTGGTAAGAATATTCATTGTTTGCTCTAGCAGCAAAAAAAAAAGAATTGAAAAAATGTCTTCAGTTGCATAAGCGATGAGCACAAGCCAAGTAACAGGTTCAGATTTAAAAAATAAGAAAACTAATAAAAAAATATTTTTAAATGATCTTTTAGTATATCCTCAACTATCAAAACAATTGCATTCTAAAAAATTCAAAGTTTCTAATACCTACTGAGACAAAAAAAAAAGGAGAAATATAATAGATGTTACGTACCATACAGCAGTTGGATGTTTTTCCTATCATATAGTGGCAATTCGTAATATGTAGGCAACTGTTTGTAAAAAGCAAACATCAGCGACTCATCGTTGACATTTGTCGAGGTATGCCCCAATCCGAGCGAGTGACCAAGTTCGTGAACTGCGGCCGAGAACAGATGCGATTCTGCAAATAGAAAAAATACCGTAGGTGCTTATTTACTTATTCATATTATAAGTACTTCAGTTCATTCGATACAGTGTTGTAAAGTTACTTCTGGCTTCTCCAGTAAATGCATTAAAAAGTGTTAGTATTGTTGTCATTGTAATTAATGAGTTTTTTTTTTTTACACTCCAAGTAAACCATTTATCATGGAATATTCGTATGAAGAAAAAAAAATTGAGTCAAGATAAAAAAGCGAAAAAAAATAAGCCCGACAGTACTTACTTGAACCGATTTTAGTGTTTTCGACGGTCCAATCCTCGTCAGCGTCAAAGTGGATATCGCCGCCGATATTTAAGCCATACGCTGGAAAGAAAGCATGTGCCAGTACACCTCCAATGCCATCGAAATCATGTTTGTCACCATGGGATTTCCTGAAAATCACATCACCCGAAGAAATGATATTTCATTCAACTTATCGCCAATTTCACGTGCTTCAAATTTAAAATTTAACATCCAACAGTCAGTTACTGTCAACTATCATTGGATGTCTTGGAATAAGAGACGGGTGCACCTTGAAGCAAATTAATTCCCTTATTTGGGAAAAAATAAAAACTTGTTTTATCTTAATGTGATATTTAAAATTGTGCCAATAAATTGGCAGAGGTTTTTCATTACCAAACTGCGATAAAATTAAAAAATCAAGGAATCGTTAGGCCAATGAAGTTTCTAAATTAGTTTTTTAAAATAAAAAGTAAGTATACGTTCAACTGACTCTCTTCGTTGGTTTAATAAACTTCGAAATTATAAGTAGTAGAAAAAGAAAATTCACTTACCTCTTGAAGGACATGACGATGTCGACTTTGTCAGTGTTTATTTTTTCTACAAACACAAGTTTTGTGTGTTTTGCCCACACATTTAGTGCTCGCTGCATCTCTCGCCTTACTTCGTCGTATGCAAGTCCATAGGGAATTGGTTTTTTCACGCTATATATAGTAGCAAACCAGAAATTAGATTTTAATACTATTTTCTACATATAAGAGTTAAAAATAATTTTGTATTAATAAAATAAAAATACATATGTTCTATTCTGTACATGATCTCCAGGAAAATATACTTAATAATTTGTTTCATCTTTCTACGAATAAAAGCATTTACAAGTACGCGAATGAAGTATTATATAATCACATTTAAATATACGGTGTCTATTCAATCCCAGATTTTATTTTTTAGCTATCTACCCACAAATCTCTTCGTTGTAGTATAAACCCGGAAACAAGCAAACACATGCCACCGGATGCATTTTGATTTTCTGTTCGAATGTTTTATTATTTTTAAAAATTTAAAGAAATAATCTTTCAAACTTTATATTGATTTTTAATCCACTGAAAAATTATTAAATGAAATTGAATAAAGTTAGAACAATTTACTGAATTTTTTTTAAGCCTAAATAAATTATAATACATTTTTACAATTTAAATATAATGGCAAACAATACAAAAAAGTGAGAATCGTCTTCAAAATTTTTCAGTCATGAAAATGTTCAGTAGATGTTTTTAACTCCATAAAATTTTATTTGATGATTAAAAATTATCCCTTAAAATTGTTGAAAATGCTATCGTATAATATTACTTTTATTCAGATTTTATAAGTAGTATTACTCAACACTACCTACATAAAAATGTATAAGTAGAACAAGTAAATCATATGGTCAGACACGCGACAGACTTTAATTAAAACCTAAAAATTTTGAATTATCAACCATTTTTAACTTTTCCATCGCTAAAAAAATATAATTGTAATAGAGTAAACAATATTTCAATCATTTATATTTCACACGTATTTAAGTATATTTAACCTCCCACGATATGTGCAAGCATTTAAAATTTATCAACTTGCGTAAGTATGTAGTTTATTCGATAAATTGTTTCCTTTCCTTGGATAAATTACATTTTTTTGAAAATATAACCGTTGTTTCCGTAATACTTTGTCTCATATTATACATTTTTCACCATCAAAAGCAAAAATTAACTTATTGTTTTCATAGAAACTTTTTTTTTATTTGTCTCGTGTGATTTTTTGACGTTATAAAGAAAAGTGCACTTTATATTTTAATGATACGTATAACCAAATAATACAGAAAAAAAATTTGGCTCTAATTTTTACCTCCACGTCAGAGTAAGTTTATCCCATTTGGTTAAAAGTGTGGACCTCTTGGACCGTCTTTTCTTGCTCCCCGATACATCATACACGCCACAACGTCGACTCTCTATTGGTTTCAATGTTGGCTCATCCACTACTCCCGTCTGTCTGATTCCACCAGATTTCTACAATAAGATGAGGTCATTTTCACGCATCTATCAAGTAAAGACATCCACCAATATTGTCAGAAATCATTTAAAAAAAGGCTATGCTGACCTGCAATTTTGGAAGGGCTTCCTTGATTTCGTTTTCGGTCTTGCTACTGACAATTCCCGTGTTGTTTTTGGTCAGATAACCAAATCTTTGGAGATGCTTTTCCTACAAAATGCAAATTTTTAATTAACACTTATGCAATTATCTCATATCATTGTGCAATGATGATGAGTCGATCAATTTCAGTTCATAGTTTGTGCGATTGATGCCAATCAAACGCGAAATAATTTCACTTTCGCATACTTACAGCGCTACTTGGATATAATTATTTTGAAAAAATTTTTTTCGAGAATATTGTGAATTTTGTTTCCTAAGAAATTGTTACTTCATCACTATTTACGAAATACAAATTTGAAATACAAAATTGAAAAACAAAATTTTCTTACACATAGGTGCAATCAATTTTTATTGTAGGGTGTTGAAAATCATATCATTAAAATACTTTTTTTTAATGCGTTGACGATTTCCCTTCAAAAATTGTATTTTCTTTCACATTTTGATACAATTACATGACAAAAGTTAAGGCTAAGGCCGAGATCTTTAATTCTCAACCCTAAAGACAACATTTATATTTAACTCTCAACTTTTTTTTTGACTTCCTATTAGTTTCAACAAATACAATAAAAGTGAAAAAAGTCATGTCTAAATTTTCAACATATTCTAAAAATATAATTGTGAGCCGTTAAAATTATCATCATACAACCAATACGACGTGGCACGTTAATACTTATAATGGGTGTGCTATAATGAGTACTTCAATTTAGAAATTACTTTTTGAGCGGAGCTTTCTATTTATTCGTCCTCATACATTTTTCAACCTATTTATTAATGAATCTATTTATCCGTGCTATAACTAAAGATAAGAGAGAAATACAAAAAAAATTTATTTAATTTATTAAATTTATTCAGCAACCTATTACTTTTACCGTAATGTATTTTCGATCAAAATGATAATGTAAACAGTAAAAAGTAATTTACTATTTTTGGGATGTCTCCAGACAACAGATTATTACCGATTTATAATCAAAGCACAGTAATACTCATACTTTTTTGTTTCATTTGGCATGATAGGTAACAATAGATTTGGCTAGTAAGACCCTTACATGTCGACTGTAATTAACTGCACAAGAGAGTATTTGTCTAAAAGTTTTTGTCACGTTTACCTTTTCCTTTAAGCGATACCCGATACCGATGTGTTGTATAAATGTATATACAACATTAAACAAATATGTACTTGATACAAAAAATATATGTACTTACAACTTCGTTCGAGGAGTTGGAGACCGGCACAGCGTGTCCCATTGCGAGGGCCATAGCGAGGAAGAGGACCATCATTTTTGTCTGGCTAATAAAGTTGACTTTTTGGTACGGCGTCATCCTTACCATGCACTATAAATGTGCTTGAAATCGCAGTAAAAAATAAAAAAAAATTAGAAAATCTACTTGTACTTTGGCGATTGGGGCTCGAGAAAAAATTGGTACATAAAATTCGGCTTTCAACACAATAGTTGTCTGTATCTCAACAATCCAGTTAAGAGTGACAAAGCCACATTCCTCGCATCGCTTAAATAATGCGTGTGTTACACTGCCCCACAGCCCCTCCCACCCTTTTTTGTTTGTCTCTCTTTATGGGACGGCTGCTTTCTCTTTTATACGGAAACTTGCACTTTTAGCAACCACTATTTTTGGTGACTTTGGTGCAAACATCGTATGCAAAAAAAAGTGCAAATTATTACAGAAAACATAAATTATTGCTAGCACATGCCGGATGTCTTCGAAATGCCTAAAATAATTGGCGTTAGATGTTACACGTGTTTAAAATTTTAATCGTTCGTGGAATAAGGAAAGTCATGACTTATGGTCGTTAGTAAAACTGATAAAGCTATGGTAATGGGCAACATCCGGTTTATACCAGATTTTTCTGATACTTATTGAACGAAAAAGGCATGGTAGTGGATGCATAGGGAAACGAATTAGCCATTATCGGTCAGAGGTGTATATATATATATATATATATTGCTTTATTTTTTCAATGTTGGTCAAGTACTTTCGATTTTCTAAAATGGATTTCGTTTGTTACAAATCATGTTAATAGGTTATTCATGCACATATGCATGTTCGATGTAGAGTGAATTTGGATTTTTATTAAATAAATAAATTTTGCGAGTAACGTGATTCTTTCAAGGATTACAGCTGAATGGTCCTGGGAATGTAAATGTACATGCATTAGGGTTTCCGTTACTTCCAAAATATTATATTTTTTTAGTTAAATAATATCCTACATTGATTTTCTAATTAGATAATATCCTTTAAAATTATAAAACCACATTGCGTAGAGTTAAAACCATTTGGTTTAACTTTTTGGACTTCCACCCGAACGAAAAACATTTTTACTATGATTCTACAGTTTTTCGTAATTTTTGCTGTAAAGAAATTCAGTGGATAATTATAATCGAAATCTCAGTAATTTCACAATTTTTTGAGCGGATTAAAAACCGTTTAAATGAGTTTTTTTTTAATTTCTTAAGATTGTTATGAAATTCATGTTATTTGAAAAATGTATGTAGCATTCCATGTTAATTTAATTTTTATTTCGGGTTTATTGTAAGGTTTTTCATTTTAAGCTACAATAAAAAAATGACTTTAGTGGATATTTCACATATTATAAGGTATACGTAGTTTAGAAAAAGTAAGAAAAAAATACAATACGATGTGTTTTGACTTCATAGTAATTGATTAACATGAAGAGTTTTTGAAACGGACTAGTGTGGATTTTAAAAAACTTTTTTTTTTATTTAACTCAAGTATTTTTGGTGCTGGAATTAAAATCTGGGCAAAGAGTTTACCTACATTTTATTAAATCATTGGGACAGACGTCATTATTGCGGGGTTCTAACAAAGTAACAAATCTTTTTTTTTTTTTTTCGGTTTCATAAACCTTACCTCATTGCCTTAGATAAAAATGTTTATTGGGCACTGATACATAAATGTGCCATTTGAATAAATGAACAATCAACCTTTACATATTATTTATAAAAAAATTTAAATTTCTTAATGAATATGACTGTACATGGCTGATAAAATTAACAGAGTCAACGGCCTAGTCCACGTCATTTCGAAGGTAATGATTCCGGCACATGGTCCAGCTTGAAAATTGTCCCATTACTTATCTTAATGCATTAGAATTGAAATAATATTTTTTTTTTTAACTACTTACTTTTTTAAGATATTACTTTCATAATTTGTAAGAAAAAACATTTTAGGATGAAAAAAAGAAAAAAAAATGTTTTCGTGCTTTAACTACTGGATCAAAATATGGTCAAGAAAAATTGATGATCTCATGAAAATGCAACATTTTTGTCACGAACGTGAATTGAATATAATGAAAATATATAAGGATACCTATAGTCATGAGGTACGGAAGTTTAGTGAGGAAAATCGTTATATTTATTCACAACCAAACTATCGTGTAGGTTGAGAAATTATTTATCGTCGATATGAAAAAAAACTATCTAAATGAATCACGTGATGAATAAAAGAAAAGGACTTGATTGGTATACGACACCCTTAGTATCGAAAGACTTACCTTCTACTCTGTTGGTTTATTTTTTATGTTAATAATAAATAGTTATTTACATAATTTTATTTATAGTGAATTAATTTTCGTAGTGTGTTGTCAAGCATATATTAAACATTAAATATTATAAACATTTTTATTATTCACATATAATTNGTCAATTTAAAAAAAAACTTTATCAGAACATACAGTTCAGTGTGAACGGCTTATAAATCCTAAAGGCCGAGGTTCTATCACTTTAAATCAAATTTTTTTTTTTTTTAATTACATTTCCTCGACGTTTTCTGTGAAAATTACAGGTACTGATCTTTTTTAAGATATTTTTTATTTATTTTATTATTTTTCAAATTATTCATATTCGAACAGAATCCTCGAAAACCCCCTTGTAACAATTACCGAATGTTGAAACAAATTAATTCGAGGTATGAAAAAATAATACTTTCTCTGCTGTGAATACCATCTAGATTTGTTCGTTGCAGCATTTTAACATAAACACGCAATACTGTTAATTTTTGTTCTTCTTTATAATAAAAAGTCGTACGTATGAATTTACCCATGTAAAAAAATTGACACGCTGCAGCAAAGTTGAAGAAATCATCCGATCTCAGAATAATATTATGAAACAACGCAATACATAATATATACATAGATTCGAGCCGTAAAAATCAATTCACAGGCCAAAACGTGTGATCGCCAACATCAGTCCAGCCAATGCGACGTAACTTGCCGTCAATCCGCTACCGGTGTTGTAGCAAAAATCTAGGCTACACTCGTCCGCTGCTCCGCCGAATTTTTCCTTCAAATACTCCCAATCGCAGAGCCCGACGCTGCAGCCGTCCAGTGGCACTGGCGCCTCGTTTTGGTAGAACATCACTTTGTTCGGCGATCGCGGATCGCTGCACCTGTTGGAGATTTTTTTTTTTTTTTTTCACTTGTTCGAGAGTAAAAAAAATGTATTTTTTCATACCTGTAAAATACAGCAATCAAATTCGAGGCGAACGAGCCGAGGGTCGAGGTGCGGAAGCTCCTCTTGTACATGGACCGGTAGTTGTCGGCCCTCAGGGGCGTGGGGTCCTTGTTCGTCCCCAGGGCGTCCAGGAGCGTCTGGAGCGTTACCGTGTGGGAAAAGTAGAAAACACCCTTGGGCTCGTTGTTGAAATTTCCACGCTCCAAGTTACTGAAAGCAAATCGGTGTGGGGTTGAAAATCGGCAATTCTACGTACCGATATAATTGGAAGAGAAAAAAAATAATAAAAATTGTAGAGAAATTCCAGCAAAAAATACCATTACGCACAGTAAATATTGGATGCAACGTGGCAAAAAAAAAAAATATTATTTTTATTATACGCTGGAACAGTGAACCTTCAAAGGATCGGTTGATAAATTTTACTTTCCCGCATGGGAATGTTTACTTTTCTTACCGCAATTTTTACTTTTCGAACCATAACTTTAACTGTTGAAACAATAACCTTTACTGTTAAAAATAACAACTTTTCTTTTTTTTGCCAATTTGCATCTGATTTACTGTGCAAAATGGTTATAATTTTTGCTGGAACTTCTCTATTATTTTTATTATTTTTCTCTCAATTTACTTTTATAAAAAAATCGCTCAAAAGTATTAGATTATATTTAGACTAAAAATTATTTTATTATCGTTACTTGTAAAAAAGAGAAAAAATTGTCCAAAGTATTTGACCAAATTAATTATCTAAAAGAAAAATGTGTCGCACGATTTTTCGTGTTAAAAAATTTCGTCCAAGTCCGACTGTTCTGCGTAACAATCGGACAGTGATGTCAACAATTCCGGCGATTAAATTTTCGTAGGACGAGCAATTACCCCCTGCGATCGGATTATTACGCGGAATAGTGATTTTTCGCTTCTCCGAGTGCACGTGGTGGAAATTATTTTCGTTTACCGGAAATGATCGAACAAATCCTTCATGAGCGGACAACCGAGTTTTGTGTTGATTTCACGCCCTGGGCCGGAATAGTAGTAGTAATCGAGGTCCTCCAGGTACTCCAGAGTCTTGAGCTCGTCTTTGCTGAAAACGGAACACCACGTGGACAACCGGTCGATTTCCAAGGCTTTCTCGTACCGGCACATGTCGTACATCAACTGGATGGAATCTTGAAGCAATAAAAATAATAGTAATCAACAAAGTCCATATTCAAGACCGAATATAAAGTGTTTCATAAATGTTAATGCTGGTTGTTATCGATTATTATTTTGTTTGTTTGTTTTCGTTCTAAGTTACCTACGTCTCACATTGTGATCAATAAATATGAAATTTTTCGAATATCTGTTAATAATGTTTGTAAATAACAACTAATTATTTGTTTTCTTTTTTTAATCGTGGAATCATACATTCCAATTTAATATTCATAAATATAAAAAAGAAAACCATTACTTATCTTAATGCATTAGAATTGAAATAATATTTTTTTTTTTAACTACTTACTTTTTTAAGATATTACTTTCATAATTTGTAAGAAAAAACATTTTAGGATGAAAAAAAGAAAAAAAAATGTTTTCGTGCTTTAACTACTGGATCAAAATATGGTCAAGAAAAATTGATGATCTCATGAAAATGCAACATTTTTGTCACGAACNGATAAAATCGATGTTATGCTCAAATAATTTCATTTATTTCCGTTGTAAAAAAATATGTATAGATATAAAGTATAGTGTATATGTACAATTCTACACGTACTTGCACAGCAACAGTCAAAATAAACAGATCTTCAAGTAATAATAAATTAACACTTAGTTGGCTCACATAAATATTACACCGATTATTTAATTTAAAAAAAAAAAAAAAAAATGATTTACATGTATTGATTATGCACACCTTGTAGTTCTCCTGATTGATGTTCTGAGGTGCGGGTCTCAGTAACTCGGGAAACTCGCTCTGCAGTCGTTTGGCCAACAGTCTAATGTCCTGCTCGCCCTGGGGTGTCAAAAAATCGGCCATGGCCTCGTTCATGTTCGGATTGGGTCTCCAGTTCCTCAAAAACTCAAGATCGGCACCGCACAGCCTACCGACTGCCGATTTATCGGCAATGGTTTTTTTTAGTTTTTTTTTTTTTTTTTTTTTTTTTTTCTTTGCGGGTGTAAAAAGTAATAATAAATGGGGCACTCACACGGCTCGTTGTCGTTGATTATTTGGTCCCGAAGACTGAGGAGCTTGGGCAAGCGCCTTATGAATTCTCGGCCGGGGTAGCGGGTCCCGTGTCTCGCTAATATCCATATCNTTTTTTTTCTTTGCGGGTGTAAAAAGTAATAATAAATGGGGCACTCACACGGCTCGTTGTCGTTGATTATTTGGTCCCGAAGACTGAGGAGCTTGGGCAAGCGCCTTATGAATTCTCGGCCGGGGTAGCGGGTCCCGTGTCTCGCTAATATCCATATCTGTATGGGCGTGCAGCCTGAGTGGACAGACATTTTTTAACGTGGGTCTCAATATAGACTATTTAATATTGATAATTTTAGACAAACAATTAATTATTTGCAACGGGATGAAAAAAAAAAGAGTACGCTCATAATGGTACGATTGGGCAATTAAAGATTCACGAATTTTCGACGAGTATGAGCCATTTAGCGACACAATGTCATTTAATTAGCAACTGACCCACTGAGCCGGCGGCGACTCGCTTCTCTCTCTCTCTCTTCGCGAGTGCTCAGTTGTAATAACCTACTTATGGATTCTCGAGACGGTGATGGCAAAAGACTTGAGCGTAATTGTTTTTAATACTTGAGAAAGAAAAAATTTTTTTTTTAACGTGAAAAAACTTTTTGAAAAAAAAAATCATTACTATTCACGATGAACAAGTAAAACAATTTTTCTTTTCTAGCACATAAGTACTTTATTCTCGCATAGTTTGACAATTTTTTCTTTTAAATTTTGATGTATTGTTTTTTTTTTTTTTTCGGAAAAACATTATGTTAAACACTGTGTTCTAAATAGTACTTGAAAAAAATGTTATTAGCATAAATAATGCGTCACACTTTTGGCAAAAAATGGTATTTAAAAAAAATTAAACAGTTGTCCTGCCCAAGTCTGGACACATACCAACCTTCTTGTCGATGTAAAATTTAGGACACTGACAAATTACAGTAAGACGAGCAAATATGTGAAAAATTTTAACTGCGTGGTAATTTTAAGCTGTAGATCATTTTCTGCTCTTGGAAATTTTAAAAGAAAAATTTTTTTTTCTGGATAAAGTGCACTCTGCTAAAAAATAATTTCTATTTGTCACTATTCACAATAAGAGACTGAAAAATAGTTTTCATATGGATATTAAATATTAGAGTATATTGCAGGTATGAAATTTTAAAATACTTTTGTACAAAAATTGTTTTTTTTTTCCTTACAATTGTTACATAATGTTTTTGTCAAAAAAATTACACTAATAAGAAGTAATAAAAAAAAAAATTTTTAATCATAAACCAACGCGTCACAATTTTAGCTAAATATTTAATTCAAGAAAAATTGAAGACGTGTCCGTGCCCAAGCTTAAGTATATATATAGGCAAAACTATATACATGTATGTACTCACTCGGAACGGGTGGTATCCGGGACCTGCCGTAAACAAACTGATAAGCCGTCTTGGTGCCCATGAGAAGGTAATGGTCGTTGTCGTACGCGTAACAGTAGTCGTACTCCCTGGCCGCGCCTTGGACTACCAAGGCCGCGAGTACCGCCAGGATCATCGAGGCCGTTTTCATATTATTTTCGGATTCCCACGCCTGTAAGACCTTGTATTGTTTAGTCGAAAAACAACAACGAAAAAAATTCCATTACGCGTTGCAGATGCTGTTTTTTTGGGAATCAACGCACAATAAAGTGGGAGAGAAAATAACGTTTAAATCATTTAGGTTTTATTCCCAAGAGTTAAAATATAACAGAGCAATTGCGAAACTCGGCATCTATAGAGTTACGGGTGTCTGGCAAAAAAAAGTATACAATAGACACTCGCCGGGGCACTAATTGGCTTCGATAATTAAAATTTGTAAAATAAAAGGTGTTTTTTGCTTATTTTAAATGGTTTTTCGCAGTGCAGTGGACGTCGAGGTGCTGAAAAAAAAAAATTTTTACCTCTTGTACCATAATAGCTAAGAGACGCGCGCTCGGTGACACTTTCGACGCAAGTGTCGCGTTACCGTGAATATGTAACTTTTGCAGTCGTACGTAATGCGCGTGATTCATCATCGTATTTTTTTTTTCTTCCTTTGAGTTATTGGTGAAGTATATTTTTTTAACAACATACACAAAATAGATCAATGGTAAATATTATCGTAGCCTCAAATCTGCAATTTATTTATCATTATTATTAATTTTTGTTTGTAACTTTTTTTTATGAATAAACAATTAAATAATATTTTTAACGTATGAAACTTCGATAAGCGCAGCACATGGGATTGTTACCATTGTCGATTTGGTACTTGAAGCCCAGTCTCCTGCTGACGTTGGCAATGACAGTTTGGTACTCGTAGCCAAGGATGAACCTCTCGGACTCTGTGTCCACGGGATCGTGTACCAAATTCTTCTCCCACGCCGGGCAGTTTTTATAAGCCTTTTTTTTTCATTTAGACAAGTATTATTCATGTGAGACGTGACTCGATTTACTATAAGGGTAAATTCGCACTCACGCGCAACAGAGTATCGTTAGCCGGTGGCTCCTCGACCGGTACGGCGTACTTGTTCTCAAACAAACCGTCCATGAAAGATTCCAAACTTGCCTGGGTTCGTTGAGATTTCGTGGATCTGAACTAAATGAGAATATTACACCGATTATTTAATTTAAAAAAAAAAAAAAAAATGATTTTCCAACTGACAGTTTTCGTGGGATTGTCGGAAGGAAAAACAAACTATATCCACAGAACGTAAACAAGTTTCTCGTAAATGNAAAAAAAAAAATCAAAGCGATTACACTTAACTGCAATTGTTGTTGAGATTACAAGTAAACACGTGATTGAGCTTAGTAGTCGATTTATCTTACGCAATGGAAATTGAATCACATGATGCGGGCGCGAACGAATTATCACGTGTAAGTGCAGTTATACAAGTGTCCTGTTAATGTCCCTAATTTTTAGTATAAACAAACAAACATTTTTTTCCCACTGTAACTCATGCAAGCGTAAACAAAAAAGGCGAAGCCAATACACCTCACGACACGGACAATTGAGCACCGGAACCGATCGCCTGCACCGCGAGTCATAAAAAAAGAAGTACGCGTTAACGGCATAAAAAAAAAAAGAAATAATAACAATAGAAGTACAAAGCGAGTTGTACAATATGCATGGGTGTACAAAGTGAGAAAGAGAGCACGGAGAAGATATTTGTAACGCATGAAGGTATAAGTACATGGAAAAGGCAGAATTCCCTCCGGGAGCGCGTGTGTCAGTGACCTCCCCACGATATGTGATACCGAGCTCCGATGGACGCTGCAGCTGTACCTGCTTTTTATGACCGGTATCCCTTTTTTTTTTTTTCTTTCTTCAAAGGCCACTCCTGACGCACATGTATACGTATACATATACGCGTCAGCAACATCACTGAATCCCCCCTCCCCTTCAAACCCTTTTTGTCTTGGAACACGTTCTACGCGCCTTAGGTTTTTAAGTAGATTTTCTTTTTTTTCTTTTTTTTTAGCTGACACATTATTTACTAAAATTATGTAAAGGATCTTGATTTTTTCAAAAGCAAATAAAAATGTGACACAATATGACTACAAATTTTGCTTCATTGACATTCAAAAACAAAAATACACGCAAAATAAGGTATTTACGAAGCAAGTATGGAGTACCAAAAAAGCACACTTACCAAAATGCGATGTAGGAATCTTGAAAAAAGATGTATATATTTTTTTTTTTTTAAGTCACTGTGCATCCACACGAAAACTACATGAAACGTATAAAAAAAAAAAAAAAGGAAGTAGAAAAAAACCTGTGGACACGCACCTGACGATCACAGAGTCCCATAGGCGTTCACTGGCATCCAAGCCAGCGGCACATGATAACGATTTCTATATAATATATATGTTCGATAATAGCTCGCAGACTATATCCTGTATCCACAGACCCTATATAAATATATGTTCACTCGTACATATACGTACGAGATGGACGCTACTTCGCCACTGCCGATCTCCCCACAGTACACCCATGCATATAGGGGGGACCTTAAAAAGTCACCGCTTGCCGATTTATCGCGCATGCGTTCGGCTTCTACGTGTGTATATTGTTGTTTTTCTTGCCTCTGAATCGTTGTGCATATATACGCGAGGAGTACAATGACGCCTCCTTCGAGAGTGAGTACACCCATTGTTTAAAAAAATGATGCTTTCGCTCATTTGTCATTTTATTTGTTCGTCCCGGTACTGCATATATACGATTTCTTTTGGAAGAAAACGTCCCGTTGTTCGTCAATCTGCTGTTTTTATACCGATCGCCGATTAAAACTACACACAAATACATTTCAACGAGGGACAGAGAGCGAAAAAGCCGTCAATCACATGCCGGTCATCGCATCCCACTTTATTATTTACGATTTTCCAGGATTTACTTTTACAAACGATCATGTGTGCATCGGGTAATGCATGAAAAATCAAAGTATACCGATTTATGCGTCAAAAATGGGTGAGGCTATTAAAGCATACACGTGTGTATAATATATACATGCGAGTACGAGGGAGAGGACCTTGTCTTCTTCGAGTAGTGACATCCACTTTTTGAAATCACCTAATTGCCCACGAGTACGACATTAAAGGTACGTACGCGCGCTGATCGTTATTTTTTTTTTTTTTTTTTTTTTTTTTTTTCACGTCATCGAGGCCTTGAAGATTACGTACATGCGTGCCCAGAGAGATACATATACCTTTTTCATAAATATGCATGCACGACATGTTTGTGTAGCATTGCTCATTCGCCCAGAGAGCACTTGAATTTTCGTTCGATACGACTCTTTTATTTACCATGTAAAGCTAATTGAACAAGTTTGTAGCTTTACATTTTCTAAATAGTTTGCAAAAAAAAAAAAAAAAAAGATTCTATCTCGCAAAGTGGACGTTTCAAATTAAAATGACGCGCGGAGCTGGTCGAGGAGACGCGAAACGCTCGATAAACAAAGTGACACATCGTCTCGTGTGCCTCGTGATTTGTACGAATCGCTAGTACATAATATTATATACGTGGGGTGTGTATAAGTATATGTGTAATACCCATTGTTGTTTATCGTCGTTTTTTGTCGCTCCGTCCGTCACCCATAATATTGCATCGCGTCATCGTCGTTGCTATTACATCGCCCACGCGCTACTTACGTCTATACCATCATCATCATCATCATCTTGCTTCGTTCAATTTGATGGATAAGTACTTTTGTATATATATAAGTATATGTGCTCGAGTCGCGATTTACGGCAACGCCCGTTGTGTAACCGCACATTTTTTGTTTTCGTTATTAGTCGCGTGTGAGATAAACATGATGATGATTTAAGACTTTCTTCGATTGTCTTGTCGGCCGTTGGTTTTTGTGCTTTTTTTTTTTTTTTTTTTTTAAGTGAATCATAGCTTTTCTTCTTCTTCCCGTGCAAAAATTATATTGGCGAAATTTTACAAACTGAGTTCGGATATAAAACTGAGAATGAAATTTAATAACTGTCGTTATTGGTGGGTAATTTTTTTATTTTTTTATTTTTTTTTTTTTTTTTGTCATGAACAACATCTCGGTCGATTTTATAAACCATATAAGTAAAATATTTATACTTCTGGAGAGAAAAGATTATTTTATGTTTCGTCCCGGGAGCATTGTAAACTTGACGCAAATAGCACAGAAAATTTAAACTTGTTATTATCCATCTACAGTATTAGTTGCGGCTGGTTTATAATTGATCACATGGCTCTACTGTAAGTGGTAATGATTATTTGGATCAGCGCCATCTAGCGGTCTTCATTTTTTCGCGAAAAGTGGCTCCTAAAATTCTGAATCACTGCATCTGCATCATCACAATCACATCATCAGTCTCACTCTCGCCGACACACGCACGTGTAGTGCGTTGTTTAGGTCGGTTTTGTTATCTAACCTCAAAAGATGGAGGTAGTAAATAAAATACTGTCAGCTCCGTTGAGCGAGTCTAAGGAAAAAGAAATCGAGGTCGAAATAGACGAGGGCACCCTCTTGCTTTCCGACTACAATGCCCTCGACCTGAAAACGGACAAAGAGTCAAATCTACAGGCAACGACGCGCGACAACGTGCAGCTGCTCGTCAACAAAGTCTGGAGCTTGCCGACCAAGTGTGTCGAAGAAGTGATCGTCGCCGAACTCCCGAAGCCCAACTATCTCTTGCCCAGAGCGCGCAAACTACCGAAGCCCAAGCCGCTCACGAAATGGCAACAATTCGCCAAGGAGAAGGGCATCCGGACGAAAAAGAAGGGTCGCTCCAAACTCAAATGGGACGAACAGCTCCAAAAATGGATACCCAACTTTGGCTTCAAACGTGCCCAGGCTGATAAACAAAAGGAGTGGCTCATCGAGTGTGGCGAGGATGGCACGCCTCGCGAGGATCCACGCGAAGCTCTCAAGACGGCCAAGAAGGAGAAGGTTGCCAAGAACGAGCTGCAGAGGCTCAGAAATTTGGCCAAGAAGAAGAATATCAAGGTTCCTAAAGTTGGTCTGCCCAGTACGGAACACTTCAGGGATGCCAAGCAGCTGGATGTTGGTGCAAAGGTACACTTCATCTTTAAATTGTTTTTTTTTTTTTTTTTTTTTTTTTTTTAGGTGTCTTGTTCTTACGGCAGGTGTAATTAATTTTACTTGTATGAATTTAAGGTGGCTGATGTGTCTACGGCCTCTATGGGTCGCTTCAACGAAAATCCCAAAAAAGATGCTCTTAGAAAAACCAAGGGTGGCAAAGTGTCTAAAAAGAAGAAAAAGAAGTCGGGCCAGATGAAAGAGTCGACTCCAAAAACGAGCAAGAAACCCAAAGCAGGCAAAGGAAATCGTGATTTCAGGAGAAAAGTTGGTGGTAGAAAGAGGAGGAAGTAGAAGGTGTTGATGGTTTTTTAATTTTTACGGAATATACTGTATATTTGTTTGAAAAAACATGTAAAATATTAGGAAAACTTGATTAAGTTAATTATCAGTGTAAGATTTATAAATAAAGATAAAATCGATGTTATGCTCAAATAATTTCATTTATTTCCGTTGTAAAAAAATATGTATAGATATAAAGTATAGTGTATATGTACAATTCTACACGTACTTGCACAGCAACAGTCAAAATAAACAGATCTTCAAGTAATAATAAATTAACACTTAGTTGGCTCACATAAACAGATAAATGCAGTGTTTTCCTACCCTGTAGCGGGAAGTCTTAATACTGTCAATATTAAAGATTCAAAATTCAAACTTAGATAATTTCAATATTTTTTTTTGTTTCCCCGTTAATGTTGGAAACTATTCCTAAAATAAATTTTAAAACTCAAGTAAACTACGAACATTCATTAACATCAGGAAGATTTTAAGTATACTTACTTTTTTTGAAAACCAAACATATTTAACAAACTTCGTTGCCCTTGAATTATTGTGTTCTTTTTTGTATTTGTTTTCACAACACGTTTACTTGCAAATCTTTGCTATAATTAACAGATATACTTATTAACAAAAGAAAGTAGGCAGACATTAAAATTTGAATAAATGGAAATTTACCACTGATAATGATGTGTCTGGGCTACTTCGACTTAAACTGTCCCTTTTCGGCCTTTTATCCGTAGTTTCATGTGTAAATAAACTCGATTTGTACTCTGAAAAAATCTCTCTAGTTATAGAAAACTGCTCGTCATCCTTAACATCCGATCGATGACAAACTTTGCTTTCTTTGCTATTTAGCTTGTCGTGAGATTCTATTGTATTTTGCTTAACCATATTACCATCAATCAAACGAAATGGTTCAACAGCTTTATTTTGATTACTACTATCGTAACTAAACTCTTTGTATCCACTGTCTTTATTATCACCATCTTCTTCTTTATTAGGAACCTAAAACAAATAATTGACTCTGTTAAATGAGTACTTCAAAATGCGTTATAGGAGTAAAAAAAAAAAATGTATGTACATAAAATGTTTCATCGTCATCAAAGAGCTCGGTTTCGGGGATGATAACAATTTTCTTCTCATTCTCACGGACAGTACACTCAACATTCTCCTTAATTTCCGGGTTAACAAGAATTTTCTTCTCATTGACAATACTATCAATGTTCTCCCTATAATCCTCGGAGTCGAAATTAACTTCCATGGACTCAGTGACATCGACTTGATCACTTTTCTCCTCCTCCTCCTTAGACGGAGTCTCAGCGACTTCCTTGGTTACAAGAATTTTGTTCTCACTCCCATTAACAATACTATCAATGTTCTCCCTATAATCCTCGGAGTCGAAATTAACTTCCATGGACTCAGTGACATCGACTTGATCACTTTTCTCCTCCTCCTCCTTAGACGGAGTCTCAGCGACTTCCTTGGTTACAAGAATTTTGTTCTCACTCCCATTAACAATACTATCAATGTTCTCCCTATAATCCTCAGAATCGAAATTCACTTCCATGGACTCGGCGACATCGTCCCGCCCAACTTTCTCCTCCTCCTCACTGGCTGGAGTCTCCGCGACCTTTGGCTCATCGTCCCCAGCAAAGAACCTGCTCTGCTTAATGTCCGAGTAATCGATGACAGTTGGCTTGAACCGGCTCTTTATTGAAAATCGCTTTCTCGCCCGGTACAAAATATTTGGCGACTTCTCGGTCGAGTCATCCAACTTCTTGAACGGATTCGATCGCCTCGTGAGGATCGGCGACTTTGGCGGGGTACTCTCCTTTGTTTCCACCGGCTCCACGTCTTGACGCTTATAGAGCTGCACGATCTCGTCCACCGCTGCCTCGGATTCTGAAAAACAATCGATTTTATTTCAGCTCCTTCGATCCACTTAAAATTTCGCGCCAAATTTACTGAGTGTGTGTGGGGTTCGTGTAGGAAATGTAGTCATCTACTTGAGAGAGAAAAGATTATTTTATGTTTCGTCCCGGGAGCACGCCAGGACTCATCAGTAAGGCTGATGACGTGCTCCCTGCCTTAGACACCTATATCGGTGGAGATACCCTAGCTCAATCTTAACGCCCTTATACAATGCTATGTAACGGTGGCATTTCCCGAGAACCGCGTGTAGAGCGATTTTTTCTGACGCGAACCCCGTTTGAATTAATTTTTTAGGGCAAATAGCTTTTAAATAGGAGCCGATTGAAAATACGTTCCAAACTACCCCTAAATGGGGTTGGAAGGCTATAGCGCGCCCGCATGAACTCGCGACGTTGCCACATTGTTATTGGAGCTTAGTCGGTAAGCAGTGAGAACTATATCCATGTGCGCACGCAAGAGCGTCAGCTACTGCTGGTAACTTGAAGGTTGGATGTAAAAATTTTTACCTTAAGGTAAATATTGTCTGCTCCTTAAGTTGTCAGTTGTTTATCCACGCGCTTACTGTCTTTCTCACTCTCATGTTGGACAAAAACATCTTTAAATTTTTATACTCAAGTAATGTTACCTCGAATGAAAGTAAAATACCATATCAGTAGGGATGTTTCCACTCTACACGATAGTATTTTTGCAAAAATAGTCGACCTCTCGGTCAAAAATATTGTTGTTAGGTATGTCTTGCTTATGTTCCCGGGTATGTCGTCTATACACGATTTAGAACGAGTCCATTCATAAATTGCAATAATCAAGAAACCCGCCAAGTGCCTGGGAAGTGCCTGGGAAGTACCCGCCAAGTGCCCGCCAAGTACCCGGGAACTGCCCGGGAAGTACCCGAGGAAGTGCCCGCAATGTCCCCGCCTAGTACAATACAGTCGGGTACTTCCCGGGCACTTCCTGGGTACTTGGCGGACACTTGCCGGGTACTTCCCGGGCACTTGGCGGGTACTTCCTGGGTACTTGCCGGGTACTTGGCGGGTACTTCCCGGGCACTTCCTCGGGTACTTGGCGGGTACTTGCCGGGTACTTCCCAGGCACTTCCCAGGCACTTGGCGGGTTTCTTGATTATTGCAATTTATGAATGGACTCGTTCTAAATCGTGTATAGACGACATACCCGGGAACATAAGCAAGACATACCTAACAACAATATTTTTGACCGAGAGGTCGACTATTTTTGCAAAAATACTATCGTGTAGAGTGGAAAAATCCCTACTGATATGGTATTTTACTTTCATTCGAGGTAACATTACTTGAGTATAAAAATTTAAAGATGTTTTTGTCCAACATGAGAGTGAGAAAGACAGTAAGCGCGTGGATAAACAACTGACAACTTAAGGAGCAGACAATATTTACCTTAAGGTAAAAATTTTTACATCCAACCTTCAAGTTACCAGCAGTAGCTGACGCTCTTGCGTGCGCACATGGATATAGTTCTCACTGCTTACCGACTAAGCTCCAATAACAATGTGGCAACGTCGCGAGTTCATGCGGGCGCGCTATAGCCTTCCAACCCCATTTAGGGGTAGTTTGGAACGTATTTTCAATCGGCTCCTATTTAAAAGCTATTTGCCCTAAAAAATTAATTCAAACGGGGTTCGCGTCAGAAAAAATCGCTCTACACGCGGTTCTCGGGAAATGCCACCGTTACATATCATGCTGTATATTAACCAACATGAAATCCGGGCACTTGCGAGAAGGTTGAGTTAAGTAGTTAGACACCTAGCGGATGGTTGGAGGAAGACGGAGAGCCGAAGTGTACATGTGTGTGAGAGGGTCCCCACATTCGACGTTCGACTAGGGAGCAGGGTTGTACATTGGGTGTTTTCCGCAATCATCACCAGCAAGTAATTTAAGGTTGCGCTCTACGTTACCGTCAGGTCAGTAAGTCAACTACCTTGAATTAAACTGGCACTCTATTCCGTAATCTGGCCGCAGTTAAGACAGCAGACGACGTGAAAGTCGAGGAAAAAGTGAAGATTTCATATAGCTGTTGACTGTTGTCTGCTATTTTAACTGGCCAGATTACGGAACAGAGCGCCAGTTAATTCAAGGTAGTTGACTTACCGAACTGATGGTAACGTAGAGCGCAACCTTAAATTACTTGCTGGTGACGATTGCGGAAAACACCCATTGTGGTATAATATCAGCCGCGAAATTCAAAAATGCCAAAAATGAATAGAATCAATGAAAAAAATTAATTGATTTCATTCACTGCTAAATGAAAACAAACAATATTAAAAAGAGTTACAATGTTAGAAATAATTTATTTGCTTAATTTTTGCAACCAAAAGTATATTTATACTTTTTTAGACGGAATCTTAGTTTTACGAAGTAAACAATTATAATTGGCAGTAATAGTAATACACGTTTAATCAATCATATATATATATGAATATATTTTATAAACAACGAAATGGACAATTTTTAAGTTTAAACATTTGTAATTATCAAACTTAAGTTGTAAAATAGCAGATGAAGGTGATTACTGTATCATAAGAATACCTTGCTACAAGGTAATACAGTGTGTACCGACGGTGTTTAGAGTATTAAGGTTGAATTCCAATGACGAAAACGTAATCAGCTATAAAGTTACATGACATACCGACTGGCATCTAGCATTATTTTGTAAATCGCTAATAGATTTCACTTACTAGTCTGTGAATAACTCAATACGGTTTCCGTCGGCTGCCGTTATCAGCTGTCAGATGAGAGTTGCAGCAAAAAATCAAATTTGTATAACCATTGTAATAAAATTCTGCTGCTCACAGTGCTCAACAGAACATGACTGCTGCCACTTGAAAAATAATTTGTAAGTATACATAAAACTTTATTTAAAAACATATTAAGTTATAAATAATAATCATCCAAGTTGTTCCATCAGTACTGTGAATGATTGTAGATAGTGTATTTATACAATAACCATGTTAAGAGCCATGTTTAAAGTATTGGGTGAATGATTTGCAAGATATATATTCATAGTTTGTGTTATTATAACTATTTTGCTATAATATAACAAAATATTTAACTACTACAGTATAACAAAATATAGCAAACCAAAATCACAATGAAATTGGTCAATCTATCATTGATTTTACATTACAGGTTGCATAACAATCAATTACCTCGTTTGGCGTCAAGACTGTCAAGAGGCTGGAATGCTACAAGTAAAATTTAATGTCCTATCAAGGGTTGGTATGACCTATTGTATTTTCCTTGCTCTTTTGATAACAATAATTAAATATTACTGATTACACCATGACCAGATGTAAGTATCGCAGGAAATCTTGTGACAGTTGGGACCCAGTGCACGAATCGAAGCCTACGGAAGGATCATACCAAGCTCAACATGCTCAAGGCCTTCATCATTTACGGAATTTCTTTTTCCAGGCTTCAGGGCTATTAATTTACATCTTTCTTTTTTTTATACCTAATACGTATTTGTATGATGATAAATAATTGTATGATGCTTTTGCAGAGGTTGCGATGAAATTACTGGACATCTCACACTGGCTTCATCATCTATTGGCTACCTTTGATCAAACACGAGCTTATAGGTACTCACTGCAGCTACTCAGATGAAAGCTATGTGGGAGTTGAGGACCTGTTGCTGCTCCTTGGAGGCTGACATGATGGTATACGTCGTTAAACATTTGGCTAACCAAATGACAAGCCGTACCGAGTTAGTAGTTTCATTGGGTTTATATTTGTTTTTAATACCTACGTAAACAAAACTTAATGCCATTATAATTAATTTTAGCGTGTACTCTACTATGGATCATCATCACATCATCAGTTATTGCTATAGCTCTCGATAAAACTTTTATGTACAGAAAAGGTTGTCAGACGTTTAATTTTTGAATATGATTCAAGAGAAAATGAATATTTGATTATAAAATTTTGTTTACTTTCATTATTGGTGGAAAATCTGGAAAAATTACATGTATTTAGTTATGAAAGCTGCATTATTTTGTATATTAGAAGAGGATTATGAATATTAGTGAATTTTGCATATATTTTAGTAAACGCAGTAACTGAGACACTCATAGTAGTTGGGCCATTTACTTTTTTTTTCAGTCAGTGTGCATTAAAAATAATACACATCTTTATTCGCTCCGAGCCGATGCAGAGGTTGCGCCCCCTCTAGCCAAAATCAGGCAACATTTCTTGCATGTAAACAAACGGTTTAGAACATATATACATGCGTATAGCTGCTTGTGATTGGCTGAATAAGACAGCAGGAGAGGATCGTCGTTCTCTCTCTAGCTTGCCAAGTGCCAATCACAAGCAGCTGTACGTATGTATATATGTTCTAAACCGTTTGTTTACATGCAAGAAATGTTGCCTGATTTTGGCTAGAGGGGGCGCAACCTCTGCATCGGCTCGGAGCGAATACACAAAAGTTTACGTACTCGTTATTTCTATAGTTATTAACATTTATAAATTTTAACTGAGCCAAGTCTGGATATTTTAAACATATACAGGACAGTTACCTAAATGGTATTATCATGAATTATACTTAATTATGAAACGAATTTAATTAACAACGAAAGAGCGGCATACTTGTGTCATATTTACCGAGTTTTCTTATAAAATAATAATAAACTTGTAAATATAAATAGAATTTTATTTACAGACATGTTAAATTATAAATAATAATCTATGGAAGCTGCCGCTGTTTAACACAATTTCACAAATCGTTATAAATTTACAAGTATAAAAGAATGTACGTATTACATAAAGTTATATACAACATTTATTTGAAACATATTTACTTTCCGTTAAACGCTCCTAATCTTATTTGAAATACAAAAATACTCTCGAATTTTTAACTAAAAAAAAAATCCCACGTATAAAAAAAAATCTTTATTCAATACTATACGAGCACACAACTGATCAACAAACGTATTATAATTT